CCCCAAAACCCCAAAACCCCAAAACCCCTGCAGTTAAAAATTTATGATAAATTATGAAAAATAACTATATTAATGAATAAATAAGTTAGATTTGTATTTAAAATAAAATGCAAAGAAATATATAGATGCGGTCAACATAGTAGCTGGAGTAAATATATTAGCCATTGTCCAATTAGAACAATATCAAGAATTCATAGCAATCATTCAGCCAGTCAAACCAGACTTCATCAGTGAAGCAGAAAATCTTTTCCTCAAAGTAAATAGACCAAAACATAAACTATCAAGTGCCTTTAATGTAATCAACTCAAAGGGTTTAGAAATAAAATGATAAAAGATTACACAGCAATTAAGAAATAAGCTAAGGCAAACCGTTTGTACTTGCTACGTCACATTCAACGAATCAGCTAAGAAAGAGTTTAAACGATAAGAACTATTTCACTTAATAAATGAGCAAAGGTACTCCAGGATATATTGTCAAGAATTCATCCAAGGTCAAAGACCGATAATCATTAAATGCTGGAGAGGAATATTTTAATCATTCAGAAATTGAACCACTACTTTAGTCATAAGACTAAAAGAGAGAGTCATTCATTGAAAAGCAGTAGTAGCTGAAGCAAAAGAGTCCAATATCCAATGGTCAAATCCTTCAATCTGATTTCAAGCTAAGCAAGAATAGGCTGTTTGACTTCTAATAGCAGGACAAGTTTGATGTTTACGTGGAGGATGTTGACGGATCTCCAAACGATTAAATTTATCAGCAAAGCACATAACTCTCCCCTTAGTAATTATACTTTTCGAGTTCTAAGAAAAATTAGCAAACTCCTTGGACAGGAACCAATTAAAAACGCATCAAAACTGCTAATAACACGCAGATTATCAAGCAGTAATCTTCATCAAAGGAAGTCATTATCCCACCTAAAGACTAAATCATGTTTAAGCAGTCATAAATGTCAGGAACAGCCACCAGATTCTGGAATAACATGAAATTCAACCCTAACCTTGCAAATAATGAGGAAAAACAGTTGAACCCGACTGTCCCTAAATTCTTTAATGGCCCTTAGTATGACGAAATAGTAAATCAACCATTAGCAGATGAAAAGAAGATGATATACTACCTTAAGAAAGAAATAGAGGAGTACAGAAATGACAATAAGAAGATATCCTATACATCTAAAAAAGATGTTATGATAAAACTTTTAATTGATGAGCTAGACAAACAGCATAAAAGAATAAATTTCCTAGAGAATAAGATTAAGGATCAAAAGGCTAGAATACTTAGAATGGAAGATGCTATGAAACAAAAGAGTCATAGACTCTTACTAAGATGTGGATCTGCGTACAAGCCAATTAAAGTTTAAAAGGATTTAATAAATGTTGAGAGTTAATCAAGAAGTAGAAGCTAATCTGCGAGAAATTCAAGAAGAGGGGAAAGCCAAGGGGATCCTGAAGAGCAAAAGAAAAATCAAGACATATAAGAAGTAACTGCTGAGAATGAAACTAGCGTCACTAATCATCAAATAGTCTAAGGTTCGATTGTAGAAAACCCTGATGAATTGATGCAGTAGCTTGAGCAAGAGTATCAAAGTTAGCAATAAAGATTTATGAATATGCTTGAGGCACATCTAACCTAAGTAGAGAAAGTTGATTAAAGTACTTAGCTCGAAGAAGATGAGCTCTATGAAGATCCTAAATACAAAAGGTCAATAATTATGCATCAAGATAACTAAAAGCTTACCAGAGTAGTCATTAATCGAGAAGATTTATTATTTGATGTTTGTGGAAGACATATTTCAAGAAAGCAAGTAGAATTAAATGTGAATGCTCTAATTTTTGATCTGGAGAAGACTATCTCACTTCTTAAATAATATCACAAACTTTCAGACTTTATTCATTCACATAAGCTTTAAGATGAGTCTAAACTAACATTTTTCCAGATATTAGAGGAATTCTAAAACAGAGCAGCAAATATAATAAACTGTGATCAAGTCATTTACTGTATGATGGACTAGCCATCTAAAGAACTAATTCAATTCACTAAGAAGTAAGTTCTCAAAAGCAAGTGGGCTGAGCTTTTTAGCTTTAAATATGAGAATATGGGAGATCATTTTGCACTAAACAACCCAGAGGAGATTAAGAATCTAATTAATGTAGAAAAGCTTAAGGAATTCCTAGGCTATACCAAGACTCATCCAATTGAAAGCATTATTATGACAAAATTTTAAATACTTCTAAAATAAGGAGTATCAATTGCAATAAACTCGTCTACTTTTGATTTTTCACTAAGAGGAATGAAGAGTAACTTTCAATAGTAATGTGGATTTTTCACTCAAATGGACAATGAGATACTTCAATAGCTCAGTGTCTCATGTCTAAGAAAACTGAATAGAGAAAGAGACCTTGATCTGAAGATTAAGCTCATAAGAACTTATAGAAATCTCTTCAGGATAGGAATTAATCTGAATTCAAGGTCTAATTACGCAAGTTTGATTTATGAATCTGAAAAGAAGTTGAAAGAAATGATGCTAGTTAAGAATGTGACCATACTGATTATAGACCATGATAGATAAAGCTTTGTCAAGCTGAATCATCACTGTATTGGACCAGATGGACGTGAATTTGAGCTGTCTGAATCAGAAATATAGTAGCTAGATTTGCCTTAAGACATTTAAATAGAGGGTAATCTCCTATATATGCCATTTAAAGGACTTGCATAGCATTGTGTTAAGGAAAAGAAAACTTTGGTGATAACTGAACCTCTATCATATTAGGAATATGACAAGTATATAGATATAGACTTTGACAGTTAGAAGATTACACCAATCATCTGTGTCCCCTGCTTTAACAGAGAAGATAACTCAAGAGTAGAGGCATTAATTGAGATAGAGTTTAAAATGAAGCACTACCTCTCTAGTAACCCCCTAATGGGTGGATAATACGGCGAATTCAAGCTAGACATTGTTGCTAAGGAGTAACTCGAAATATTCCAAAATTAACTCAGAATCTCAATTGAAAGATTAAATATTCTTAAAAAATACCAGCAGCGACTCAAATTGAAACAGAATGGAGGCATTCATCAGTTGACTGATATGCTCTAGATTGGAGATGCTCTTTCTCCCATTAAATTACGAGAACAGTTTACAACACTAGACAAGCAGCAGATTAACAACGACTTCGAGATGCTGAGGCCATTGAGTGAAATTGGAATTTTTAATGATGATAAATATGACTGTCTTTCTGATGGAGAATAATGATTTATTTACCAAATTAATAATCAAATTATAGAAAATATTTTTGCATTTTAAATTTCATCAATAAAATACACTTAAGGGGTTTTGGGGTTTTGGGG